ACATGGCGTGTCTAAGGCTCGCTGGCAGCAGGTAACGGGACAGACCCAGGTGTTGTTGCTGGAGGGCGCCACTTGCAACCCCTATCTCCACAAACGACAAAGGTCCCCCGTATGGACTTTTAACAGACTGTTGGGGCAAGTGCTGTTAGCTGATGGGTGGCCAAACACCACCCGCGGTCGCCTTTGTATCCCGGGTGGCGGTGTTTACACACCTTACCGGGTACTCCTTTGAGGCTGAGTCGACCTAGGCGAGACCCAGGACCGGTTCAGATAATCGTCACTGGTGTTGGTCGGCCGTGAGCGAGAATCGAACTCGGGAAGCTGGGGTTCGTAGCGCGGCGCGCTCCCCGCTACACCACCGCTCCCCACAATACAAAGACAAAGATCCCCGTATAGCCTGAACAGACTGTAGGGGCAAGTGTTGTTAGCGAGCAGCACCTATGAAGGCCGGAACGGCACACGAGAGGGTGGGTGGCCAGCACCACGCCCGACCGCCTTTGTCTCCCCAGCGGCGATGTTCCCACACCGCACCAGGTACTCATTTGAGGCTGAGTCGACCTAGTGAAGGGCCCAGGACCGGTTCAGACAATCGTCACCGGTGTTGTGCCGTGAGCGGCAATCGAACCCGGGTCGCCGGGTTCGCAGAGCAGCGTAGCGCTAACCGCTGCGCCACCGCTCCCCACATGCACACGCGGACGGGCGCGCGCGTGTGCGTGTGTGCGTGTGTGTGCGCGTGTGTGCGTGTGTGTGCGTGTGTGTGCGTGTGTGTGTGCGTGTGTGCGTGTGTGTGCGTGCGTGTGTGCGCGTGTGTGTGCGTGTGTGCGCGTGTGTGCGTGTGCGTGTGTGTAATTGGCACGACGTCCGCGCGTCTTTTGACCTACCGCGTTCGGATGCGGTCACCGTCAGCCACGTGTCGATTGATATATTTTTAATTGCAGGGATCGCGTCAATGGCAGGGAGGCGGTAATTAAAGGCGATGGGAGCCGACGCGGTGGTGGGGGGGTGGGGGGGTGGTGGGGGGGGTGGTGGAACTCGCGGTGCATATCCCAATCCGCCAAGTCTCGCACCTTGCCGCCGTGAAAATCCTTCGCAGTTTTAATCGCCACTGCAAGTTGTTTATTGCGACGTTGTACGCGGCCTACCGTCCGCCACAGATCTGCTCGACTGCCCACCACCACGACCACCCGCCTCCTCCTCGTCGCCCCGTTTTCTCTCTCGGCTCATCTCGCACTAAATAAACACATTAAGCTTAAAATAAAGCCCCCCCCTCTCACTCTCGCTTTCTCTCCGCAGCTTGATGGATCCGCTTATATGAGCGGCCCAATTTCGTCGCAGCGCTTAATCATTAATTGATTGCCTTTGTTTGTTGTGATTACTGCGCCGCGTTGTGTCCGGGACTTTGATTGCGGCGCTAAGGAGCGGTTTCCATTCGCGTGTCTGAAGAAGAAAAACATTCCCCCCCCCCCCAATTATAATACGATTGTGGTGTTGGTATCACGTCGTTACGACGAGAGAACCCTTTGGGAAGCCCCGCAAAGCAGGGTGTTATTCATGTTCCAAACAAAAAAAAACGGAACGTGGAAGAAGATACTACAGAACTCATTCTGAGATTGCTTAAAATTTCCTCTTATTCACAACTAGGGAGTTGCGACACTTTCTCACACGCACCGCTGTGGCTACTGTTTGCCGCATATTTCACTTAAACCGATACACATGATCAGAATTGGACGTTTTGCCACCGTAAGTGAAACATCCAATTTCAACAGGATGGAAGTTTATTTTGTTGTTTTTTTGCACAGACATTGGGGACTGGGCTGAGACCAACCTTGATCACCCGCTTTAATCTCGGGTGGTTGAAACACGGATTCGAGCTGATGTTCTCAGCGGGACCGGCTCATTGCTCAGGAGCCCTCAGCCACCCGACCGGCCTCATCACCCCACGTGTCCTCATCGTTCAGCATCAACAAACCCCCGCTGACTTTGACTCTACAAAAGCGGCCAGACTTTCCACGTGTCATCCATACAAAGTATAGGCGGAAGCTTGTTTTTAGGGAACTTAGAGTGTTTCTGTTGTCTCCTCGGCCATATACGGTACTTATCGGCACTCTCTAGGCGCACACGTGCTCGCTGATGAGCCCTGACGAGGGCGAAACGCGCCCACGTGTCTCATGCTGCCAGCTGTCAAATGCCTTTGTCGAATGTCTGTTGGCGGAATGATTGAGCGGTGTTGGTCAGGGGCACGAAGTTACCGAAAGTTTACGGGTCTGCGTATATCCAGCGTTCGTTCGCGGAAAAAATGCCCATTCTTTCAATTGGCAAGCAAGTCTGTTGGGAAAAAAGAAACTTACAATGTAATGCATTAATTCAGTTATTCCTTCATTCACTCTTCTGTTTATAAAGTTTAGAACGCGCTTTCAATGGCCCTGCGCTCGGCTCGAGATGAACTCCTTCCCTGTTTAGCGTGGCTCAACTTTTGCGGCATTAATAAGATCGTGCTGAGGCTCAGATAATTATCAAAGTAGCCATGGCGATGATGGGGATTTGAGCGTCAAGGTGACGAGATGTTAACTACCTCGCCTGGTATACAGGAGGCATCCCGACGCTGACGCCTGCTGTATATATATTTTTTTATTTTGATGTTATCCCCGTGGTTGCGTGGATGTTTATCCGGGTTCTCTGGGTTTTCGCTCCACGTTTAGAAACATGCATTTCGAGTATTTCGCTGCGATACGTTTCCACATGATAAGCCACTTCGTTGAGCTATCATTTGTGGCCAGCTCGCTTCTGAAAGAGAGCTGTATAGCTCGGTGGGCCGTGTCTGGTAAATAAAAAAAAATAGTTTAGTATTAGATGACGAGCAATGTTCAGGAAAAGTCCGCTAGAATTGTGACTGCTGTGCCCTGTTCGATGGCTCTGCGAGTTGAGTTTCTCTCCTTTGAACGGCGGTTTGATTCCGCAGCAGTCCTACCTTGTCACAAAGCCCCCGAGTGTCGCTTTCACGAGGAGCGAACCAGTCGCAGTTTTGACCCAGAGTTTCCATCCACTTATAAAATGTACGGATTTATTACAACTCTGTAGTGGCGAGTAAGTATGCCGCAGTGTCGGGATTGGTGCGCACAGAGCGTGCATGACATTAGAAGTGGCTTGGTGGGAGAGGGTGGTGGGGGGAAACCTGGACGAACATGAGCATTCTACATTGCTAATGCGGCGCGTTTTGCTTTGCAATGAAAGCTGATCGACAAATGCGCATCGCCGTAATTTGCGCAGTGAAGATTGCAGTTTTATAGTTTGAGTGTGCAGGTGAGGCCCCTGAATCACCCTGAATATCGTCAATATATCAGCCCCCATCACGTTATATATATTGATATATGTACGTACACATCTTGAAGTTATTGACACAACTATTAATTACGCATCATCACATAGGCATTGACGACGACGCGAAACCTCAGCGCTTTTCATACACGTCGTACGCATTTATAGATTTCGTGTGTCGCATAGCGAGTGCGCGTGTATGTGTTTCTATGTGGGTGTGCGTGTGGGGAGCGGTGGTGCAGCGGTTAGCGCTACGCTGCGCTACGAACCCGGCGTGCCGAGTTCGATTCCCGGTGACGTTTATCTGAACCGGTCCTGGGCTTCCCCTAGGTCGACTCAGCCTCAAATGAGTACCTGGTTCGATGTGTAAACATCGCCACTGGGGAGACAAAGGCGGTCGTGTGTGGTGCTGGCCACCCACCCTCTCGTGTACCGTGCCGGCCTTAAAAGGTGCTCGTTGACAGCACTTGCCCCAAAAGTCTGTTAAGGCTATACGGGGGGGATCTCTTTTTGTGTGTCTATGTGTGTGTGTGTACGTGTGTTGCTGCTGCTGCTGCTGTGTTTCATTGTTTCACTGCTATAAATGCTGTTGGAGAATCCCGGGTTACTATGAATAGTGTGCGCCCACGCAGTCCCACACAGCATGACAAACGCCTTGCTTGTCATCGATTTTTTGTTTCTTTCTACTCGCCTGCTTGATTTGTTGTGCATTTGTGTTGGCGGCCCGGGGTGTTGGGTAAGGGATTCTAAGGGGGTGGGTGGTAAATGGTGCTTGCTGGTGCTGGTGGGTAAGGGGTGGTGCGGTGAGGGAGGGAGGTGGAGGGGAGGAGAGGGGGAGGGATGGAGGGAGGGAGGGAGGGCGGGCCGGCTGGAGAAGCGAAATGCGTGAGTGTGTGCGTGAGTGTTGGTGGCAGGGGGTTGCAGAGGGGATGGTCTGGCGACGTCACAACCGGAACACAGGCAGTGGGCCATTTAAAAGTCATCATTTAAATGAGAGGCATAGGTCCAGGGAGGGCGCGGGCGAGGGACAGGTGTGGGGTGATAAGGGTCTGCGTCGGTCACCGCGTGCAGCCACAAGACCCGCGCTTGCTGTGGTGCATCGCGGACACGACGCAGCACGGCGCAGCGACTCGGGGACTGACTGCCGCCTTTGAAGAGATACAGACAACGGAGAAGAGACAGAGTCACAGAGAGAGAGAGACAGACAGACAGAGAGACAGTGACGTGCAGAGAGAAGACAGAGGAGTCTTAGACATTAAGTGCGACGTCCTCGGGACTTACTGCGCATGTAAGACACGCAGCGGTGGCGTCGCTAGGGGAAATATTCGCGGCGAATTGATCCGCCCGGCAGAGGAAACCGGCTCGCTCGTCTCATCTCCGGCAAATCGAGTCGCGGATCCCCGGACTCGTGACCGTCTGCGTCGCTGCGGCTCCAAGCGAAGCCCGGAGCATCACCTCGCCACTGCCATCCTCACCCCTCCTGTTCCTAACCCTCGTGCCTCCATCTCCCCCCCCTCTCCTCCTCTTCCTCGCCCCCTTCTCATCGCCCCCACCAAGCAACTAACCAAGCCCCCCACGTCCTACGCCCCCCTCCTACTCCCACCCCCCGCTCCCCGCCCCCCGCTCCCCGCCCCCCCCCCTCACCAGAACCAACTAGCCCCCCCCACCACCCCCTTACCCTACCCCCCATCCTCATCATCACATCATCCTCCGCTTGCCCGGCCGGTCGCATTGCAGCAAGAGGTTGCGCCGGCGAGGATTAACTACCCCGCTGTCTACATCGACTGCGTCCTGCGCCGCGGCGAGAGAGCGCCGCGCGTCGTCCAAGATGCGACTCTCCCAGTACCGGCAGCCACTCGCGTCCCTGTAAGTGGCGGTGCGTCGGGCGCTCCTCGCCTCTGCGTTCATCCGGCGCACAATTTTTGCTCGTTCTTTGCGCGCTTTGCCCGCGTGCCTAGGCTCATTGAGAGAGATGGGTATTTCATCACGGCGGCGTGCCGTGTGCGTGATTTGCGCATCGCTACGGGAGAGCTTTAAAGCGGACGGCACGCGTTGAACTACAGGCTGCGTAGAGGTTATGCAAGGGCTTGCGATGGGGGGTTAATATTAGCGGTGGACTAATAATAGTTATTTTACAGCGATGGTGATGGTGATGATGTTGACGCTACTAACGATGCAGCGACCGAAACGTTTGCACGTGCAAGCTCGGTCCGATTGACGCTGTTTGTATCGCTGGGAGTGCAGAGATAAGAATTGTAAAATGTGCAGTGCGGGGGGGGGGACAGGACAGGTACTCGGGCTTCTGTGCGCGCGATCTGACCTCTGTATGCGTGCGCGCGCGTGTGTGCGTGTGTGTGTGTGTGTCTGTTTTTGCATGCACGAGTTTGTATATTTGTCTATGCACGTAGACTTGTGCGCGTGTAAGAAAGCATGTGTATTGTATGAGTGACTGCGTCTGTGTATATCGGAAGTCTGTTCAGGCTAGACGGGGTAATCGTTGTCTTTGTGTGTAGGTATATGAAACTGCTTTTTGCGTTTAGTTTGTTGTTCTGTCTCACCCCAGATTAGTACATACGTATGCTGAATATAAATCTTGTGTATACACGTGAATGTATGAATGCGCACACGCATGTGTAGATGTGAAGCGGGAATTGAACTCGATTATCTGAACCGGTTCTGGGCCGCCCCTAGGTAGACTCAGCCTCAAATGAGTGCGGTGCGTAAAACATCGGTACCGGGGAGACAAAGACGGACGGGCGTGGTGCTGGCCACGCATTCTCCCGTTCGTCGTGTCGCCCCTTCATAGGTGCTCGCTTAACAGCACTTGTCCCAATAAGTAACTTGAGGCCACACGTGTGTGTGTGTATATATATATGTGTGTGTCTATGAGATTGTGTGGTCGAGACTCGCCGATAGCCTCCCGTCGCTCGAGGAGTCCCCATCGCTGAATGTGCGTGTCACCTGGCACAACAGCAGCAGCAGGAGCAGCAAGAGAAGCAGGGGGCACGTGTTCAGTTAGAGATCTTCCGCAGCGAGCGAGCGAGCGCGGCGGGATTTGTGCCGCGGCTAAAGCTCTGTTGATGGATTTCTTCTTGTTGTTGTTTTCTCGCAGATGCCTACACTTCCTGGTGCTTTGCTTTCAAGTGCAGGTACGTGACCGCTGATTCTCCTTTTAATAGACGACGCGAGCAACAGTTTGTCCGGCCCCGTGACGTTGAAGCGTTCAATGTTTCAGCACCCAATAGATTTTTTTTTTGTTCTGAGCGTACCCCGATCGTGTGAATTGTACACACACACACACAAATACAAAGATCCCCCGTTTAGCCTTGCCGGACTGTTGGGCTAAGTGTACACGCTCACGCACATACGCACGTAGGGCACATATCCACGGGTGTGTCGTTGTTGCTGCTGCTGCTGCCGATTTAGACTTCTCCTACGAAAGTTGTATTTATTTATATTTTGGGTGGAAACGGTCGAAGTCCGATGTCGATGTATCCCATCGGCGGCACTGGGTGGTACGAATCCGACAAAAAGAGGCGAAATGTTTTGGCAGAGATGGTGCATCGCCACGTGCTGCGCACAAGCTTCTTGAGGTGTGAACAAGCCCATCGGGAGGGAGTTAGAGGACAACGCAACCGCGCAATACTCGGGGGTGGAAACTAAAAAAAAAGTTGGTCGAACGTATCGAGCGTTCTCACACAAAAAAAAGTTGGTGCTCGGTGATTGAAAGTTTTTTTTTTTACGGATATGGGAGAAGAAAAGAAAAGTTACCGGAAAGTTATTGATTCGTGATCCCTCCCACGTGATCGTAGAAGTTTCCGCAACCAGCCCCGTGGCACAGCCGCTCTTAACTTGAACAGGATCGATATTGATGATGCGACGATTGGTCACGCCGTGACCTCTGTGAGATACAGCTGTCACGCAACAACTTCTGGATAAGATATTTATATCTATAAATGTGTAGTTATAACTGTAACTAACGGGAACACAATAGCGCACCACGAGTTCATCGTCACCATGAAAGACAAAACAACGACAAGAATCTCCCGTATAGCCCGTAACAGACTGTTGGGGCAAGTGTTGTTAGCGAGCAGCACCTATGAAGGCCGGCACAGGCACCCGAGGGCGGTGAGTGGCCAACACCACGCCCGGCCGCCTTTGTCTCCCTCGTAGCAATGTTTACACACCGCACCAGATACTCATTTGAGGCTGAGTCGACCTAGGGGAGGCCCGGGACCGGTTCAGATAATCGTCACTGGTGTTGGCCGTGAGCGGGAATCGAACTCGTGTCGCCGGGTTCATAGCGCAGCGCGCTCACCGCTGCACTATCGCTCCCCACAGCACACGTGCGCACGTGCATGCACTGCTTCGGAGCCGCTAATAGCCCCGCGACGAACTTAACGACCCGGGGGTAGCCCACACGGCGCGGACACTCGTAGAGAGAGAGAGAGAGTATCCCTCCTCATCTTGGAAGCTAGAAGATAGATGGCAGCAGAAGGCAGCGGGCTGCGTGAGTCGATATTCATCACTATCATGATGCGGCCTCTGCTGTGTTGCTACTCTAGGGAAGTTTCATTTTGTCGTTTCGTTTCCTATCTCTCTCTCTCTCCATCTCTCCTCCAACGCCGAGAGTTGGGTAGAGTTGCGAAAGGTTTAAACGTTTCGCGACGGTGGCCTGCAGCAGGTGACCTTATCCAGTGGGTTCATTTATACCGTTTCAATTCTTAGAGCATGTTAGAGAGCCCGTTGAGAGCAGAAATCAAATTTTATGTTTTAAGGGAGACCTGGGAACACGTACAGGAATCATCTATGTGTGTTGAACTTCATTTGTACCGTACGTAGCCAACCGTGCTAATGGCTCGGGTCCTAGCGCTACAAAATCCGAGTTAAATCATCTTAACGGCAAACGACCCAACATAAGAAATGTCAACATTTTAACTGATAACAAAAAAGTTATGCAATTGGCTGTATGTATTAACACCACGCACCCGCACTCACCAGCGCGGTGAAGTATGGTCATCCGGCAACGGATTGACAGCAGGGCTGTACGCTTGCGTGCACTGCCACACAGTTATTTGTACCTGCGAGCGCTGTTATGGATGTTTTGTGTCGGCATCGGTCATGCTGTTAGCGCGAACACAAGACATATCTTGGGCTGGCACGGATCAAAGCCCCTTGATGTGAGAGTATGGAAACACATCTCGCGTGAGAGCCCTCCAAAGGGGCTATCTATAGCCTCAATGAAAACAACACTTTATAAACAACAACAGCAGCAGCAGCAACAACAATGCAGTCGTCACAAATAAACACGCCCTCTCTGCAAGCAGTGACACGCATTGAGATTGATAACATTATTTTAAACCAGGTGAGAGCCCATTAAGAGCAGATGGCTCATTTTTTTTTTGTCGGCAAGGGAGACCTTGGGTGCTCTTAGGTCAAAACAATATGCGTACATTTATTTATTTTCCCAGGAAAGTTTCACTGACTCCTTCCTTGGGACATATGCCCAATTTAAATTTTTTTTAGAGGGAGAGAAAATTAACGAGGGTGTCATTTGCAGTTCTCGGAGAAACCCCGCCACGCAAACGGGGAGGTTGAACAACCCCAAAGGTCTACAAAGACCAACTTTTGTTTTGTAACACGACTATCTTAGAGAGAGAGAGAGAGAAGGGGGGGGAGTAGAGACGGATATGTCATCGCGTATGTAAAACACATCGAAGCAATGCCTGCACGTGTATGCCGAATGTAGCTATGCGTACGTTGGTGTATGTAACTGTATGTCCGCGCGGGTATGTGTGTGTGTCTGTGTGTATGAGCATTTGCTTGTACGTCAACTGTGAGTACATGTGCGTGCGTGCGTGTTGTTTGTGGGGAGCGGTAGGGTAGCACTATGAACCTGGCGACACGGGTTCGGTTCCCGCTCACGGCCAACACCGGTGACGATTATCTGAACCGGTCCTGGGCCTCCCTTAGGTCGACTCAGCCTCAAACGAGTACCTGGTGCGGTGTTTAAACATCGTCACTTGGGAGACAAAGGCGGTCGGGCGTGGTGCTGGCCACCCACTCCCTCGTGTACCGTTCCGGCCTTCAAAGGTGCTCGCTAATAGCACTTGCCCCTATAGTCTGTTAAGGCTATACCGGGGATCTTTGTCTCTTTGTCTTTGTTGTTTGTGTGTCGTAAAGTGGTTAGCGCGCTGTGCTACGTATCTGGCGACCCGGGTTCGATTCCCGCTCAAAGCCAACATCAGCGACGAGTATCTGAACTGGTCCTGGTGCGATGTTTAAACATCGTCACTTGGGAGACAAAGGCGGCCGGGCGTGGTGCTGGCCACCCACCCCGGCCTTAATAGGCACTTGCCCCAAAAGCCCTGTTGAGGCTATAGCGGGGGAATGAGGGGGGTGCGTGTGGGTCCGTGTGGGTGCGTGCGTGGGTCCGTGTGGGTGCGCGTGGGTGTGCGTGGGTGCGCGTGGGTGCGTGGGTGTGTGTGGCTGCGTGTGGGTGTGCGTGGGTGCGTGTGGGTGTGCGTGAGTGCGCGTGGATGCGCGTGGGTGCGCGTGTGGTTGCGTGGGTGCGTGTGGGTGTGCGTGGGTGCGCGTGTGTGTGCGCGTGGGTGCGCGTGTGGGTGCGCGTGTTGGTGTGTGGGTGCGTGTGGGTGCGCGTGTGGGTGCGCGTGTGGGTGCGCGCGTGGGTGCGCGTGCGTGTGTGAGTGCATGCGCGAGTGTAAGTAATGGAGACCTTGCCTCCCCCACTCACTGACCAGGCGGCGCCGGATTTTACGCAGCACGTGGAGGCGCAGCTCCAGCGACCGGACGCCGTGAGCCGCAAGCACATCCGCTCCTACCAGCTCTACAGCCGCACGAGCGGCAAGCACGTGCAGATCGTAAACAAGCGCATCAACGCGCGCGCCGACGACGGCAATAAGTTCGGTGAGTGTGGAGCGAGCGAGTGAGTGAGAGAGTGAGAGAGGAGCGGTGGCGCAGCGGTTGGGTTAGCGCAGGCGATCAAAATAGTAAGAAGAAACGTTAATTTTTTTTGGCGAATTCGGTAAACGAACAAGAAACAAAAACCTCTGTAGTTCATGAGACGCAATGCCACGGTGTGTTACGAGACGGCCCTTAATAAATAACTGTCACGAAGCAGTCCCATGGGTTCACATTTCCAACCCACGGTCCCCCAAATCAACTCAAACCTTAAAACGAATATAACACGAGTACGTGGTGCGTTGCCAGTAGGAGGGATACAAAGGCGGTCGGACGTGGTGTTGGCCATAATAGGTGCTCGCTAACAGCACGTGTGTGTGTGTGTGTGCTTGCAATACAGAGAAAACACTACACACGAGGGGGGACCTTTTGAGGATTGAGTTGAACATGTATTTGCTTTTCAGGATGGGTGGCCACGCTATATAAATAATCTAAGTTTAATTTTTATATTCACAACTGCTCGCTTGGAATGAATCATCCATCGCAAATGCACACACACACACACACGCGCATACTTGATCGACAGAATATGCACCGATCAACTTTACATACTCATACATGTTTACACATTCATTTACACCGCAAGCTGACACACACACGTACACACGTATACACATAGGTGTATATGTGTGTGCCATGTATGTTGCATGTATGTGGTATGTATGTTACACGTGCCACGGACGTTGGTATCACCGCGGGTCTCTCCCCGCCGTCTATCAGGCTAATCGATTTTAATTTCGTTTGCTAAGTGATCTGAACTTGCTCCATGCTTATAACCCTCCGCGCCCTAGGTCCGCTCAGCCTCAAACGATGAGAGCAGGTGGATTGTGTACACGAAACAACTTCAACTTCAAACAAACAAAAAAACCCTTCCCAACAGCTCGCCCAATATGTACACGTTTTTTTTTTTTATTAAGAAACGTGTTGCCACTACCTGGTGTCTTGACGAACGTCGGCAGTGATCGATCCACTGCTGGATGGAGGCATCTCGGATGGTTCTCGATAGGTGCTCGCTAAAATTACTTGTCGCTGCAGTGAGTGTGTGTGTGTTTGTGCACACTATACGGTTAACAAACTGTGCGTGTGCATTAGCTCCCTTACATTGAATCGAGACTATTGGGGCAAAGTTCTTCTTTGCAAGCACCCACGTGCATGAAACACGCACACACGAATACCCAACCAAGAATACGCAGACAGATTTTTCCCGCACCTCCGATTAGCACGGCTGGCTACACACCAACTCTCGTAATGTACAAAGACACATAGACAAACACAAAGGTACCCAATACAATGCTATCTGGACTTACGTAACATCTACAAAAAATGCAACTGCCCCCTGAGCACGCTGTGCAAAGCATTGGGACATTGGCATCTTGGGGAAAGGAAGGTGATTTATGTACACACACACACACGCATATAGATACACCCCCAACACAAAACACTCACCGAACCACACACACACGTACAAGCCTAAAATAAGGACAGATTCAGAGTGCAGTGAAGATAACGTCTGGGTCACCACAAAGACAAAGATCCCCCTTATAGCGTTTTACAGACTGTTGGGGCAAGTGCTGTTAGCGAGCACCTATGAAGGCCGGCACGGCACACGAGGTGGGGGGGTGGGGGGAGGTGCAGCACCGCGCCCGGCCGCATTTGCAGACAGAACCAGACACTAATTTGAGGCTGAGTCGACCTAGGGGAGGCGCAGGACCGGTTCAGATCATCGAATCGTCACTTCGTGTTGGCAGTGAGCGGGAATCGAACACGCGTCGCCGGGTTCGTAGCGCAGCGCGCTAACCGCTGCACCACCGCTCCCCCGCTCAACCCCCCCACCACCCCCTCTATTCAAGAGTCACGAGAACGTTGACCGCACGTGGTTCGTTCAACTTGGCACGGACGAAATGTGCGCGTGTTGGTCAATGGCAGTGGCGCAGGAAGCTGCTCCTCACAGCCCCGGTGTAACTCAAGATAACACTGCGGATCGCACTGCCTGTGCCCGGTTATAATTAAACGCGGAGGGGGTGGGCGGCATTTAGGCGCTCAGCTGATTCACGCGATCTCGTATCCGCGCGCCCGGTGCAGGCAGAAGCCCATCGGCCCATGGCTCGCTTCGCTTAGCGAGTTAAATGTTGTTGTTGTTGTGCCCACGATGCTTGCGCGGGATGAAGCGTTGCTATCCCCCCCCTCTTTGCCTGTCTGGCCCGGCTGCGCCTCTTGTGTTGCGAGGGCTGCGGAGATACGTGGGTGTGTGAGTGAGTGTGTGAGTGAGTTTGAGTGGGTGTGTGAATTCATCACTCAGCGTGGCGGTTCGTGGAGCCGCGCACCGGCTCAGACAGGGCGTGCGGTGTCAGCTAATCGAGTGTGTGAGTTGAGTGAGTGTGTGAGTGTGCGTGAGTGTGTGTGTGAGTGTGCGTGAGTGTGCGTGAGTGTGTGTGAGTGTGTGTGTGAATGAGTGTGTGAGTGTGAGTGAGTTGAGTGTGTGTGAGTGAGTGTATGTGAGTGTGTGAGTTGAGTGAGTGTGTGAGTGAGTGTGTGAGTGTGTGTGTGAGTGTGTGTGTGAGTGAGTGTGTGAGTGTGTGAGAGTGTGTGTGTGTGTGAGTGTGTGTGAGTGTGTGTGTGAGTGTGTGAGTGTGTGAGAGAGTGTGTGTGTGTGTGTTGTGAGTGTGTGTGAGTGTGTGTGTGAGTGAGTGTGTGTGAGTCGAGTGTGTGAGTGAGTGTGTGAGTGTGTGTGAGTGAGTGAGTGTGTGAGTGTGTGTGTGAGTGAGTGTGTGAGTGTGTGAGTGAGTGTGTGTGAGTGAGTGTGTGAGTGAGTGTGTGAGTGAGTGAGTGTGTGTGTGAGTGAGTGTGCGTGAGTGTGAGTTGAGTGTGCGTGAGTGTGTGTGAGTTGAGTGTGTGTGAGTGAGTGTGTGTGATTTGAGTGTGTGCATGTGTGAGTGTGTGTGAGTGTGTGTGAGTGTGTGTGTGAGTGTGTGTGAGTGTGTGTGAGTGAGTGTATGTGAGTGAGTGTGTGAGTGTGTGTGTGTATGTGTGAGTGTGTATGTGTGTGTGTGAGTGTGTATGTGTGTGTGAGTGTGTGTGTATGAGTGTGTGTCAATCTATTTGCGTGTGTGGGGACGGGGAGCAGTGGTGCAGCACTTAGCGCGCTGCGACGCTCACGGCCACCAATACCGGTGACGATTGTCTGAACTGGTCCTGGGCATCCCCTAGGTTGAATCAGCCTCAAATTAGTACATTGTCCGGTGCTGGCCACCCACCTCCTCATGAGCTCGTTAACCTTCCCGTATGCCATGTGTGTAACCACCAGCCTATAGGCTGTTGATGTTTAAAGACCAAATAGAAACTCATTTGAAGACATCATGCAGACATGATGCCTTGTCTGTAAGTGTTTATTTTGGTGTTTGAACGTCTTGACACCTCCTGTATTTATGCCAGTAAGGGTTAAGCCCTATTTTTTTTATCATGAATTATCTGGATACTAACTGAATGCTCCAATAGCCAGCCTATAATAGGCAATAGGGGTGCTCTTTGTCTGTACGTATGAAGGTATGGACGTGTATTGAATTCCCTTAACTCTAACAGACTCACGAGGCAAGTGCTGTTTGCAAGCACCTATTAAGCCCAACTGCAGCCACCGATACTCCATCGCAATCGCAGTGGTTTGAGTTCCATTCCAGGCCACGGCTAACATCAGTGGCGAGTGATATCTGAACCGGTCTTGGGGCCCTCTCTTCGATCAATTTCAGCCCTTAAATGATGCACGTGCGGTGCGGGTGTGTCAACATCGGCACTCGGGGAGACAAAGGTGGCCGGGCGTGGTCCTGGACGGCCACGCCCTGTGCCGTTTTGGACTTCTTCGCATAAGAGGTGCTCGCTAACAGCACTTGCCCCCAGCAGGCTACAGAAGCCGCTCGCTTCGCTAATCGACACTGAGCGCTCGCTGCGCCATTGCCGAACGCGTCTCGGCAGTCTGACTGACTCCCCCCCCCCCCCCCCTCCTCCTCCTCTGCTTCTTCTTCTTCTTGAGGAGTCCACCTCTCCCGTGTTTGTCTAAGGCTACTGTCACAACAACAACAACAACCTTGCCCCGTCAATGAGCTTCACCCCGAAGTTACCGACGTTGACGTGCAATTAGCAATGTCACAGAGCAAGCAAGTGGTGGTGGGCGGGTGGGGGTTTCTCCTTCCTTATTCTTCTTCTCGCTTTGCACAGCGATCACTCCCCTGAGTACTTTGACCCGCGACTCGTTAATCGCACCTTGTTGCATAATAAAGGGTAGTGGCGATTTTCTTGCGCCGCTCTGAGCTCGCCACCCAGCACTTTTGCTTGACACAGTCCGTCTTCAGAGTGAGACCCACGCGAACGAACCACATCTACCGCCTCCCAATCACCCCCACGGGCTGCCGATACAATCCCAGGTCAATTTCAAGATCGCATTCAACGTGCTCACGATCCGTCCATGGGTTTCGCCCTATGGCTACCTCTGTTCCTCTCTCATCTCTACCCCCTCCACACGCTCTCCTACCTCTCACTCCACCCCCCTCCACACACTCTCCTACCTCTCCCCTCTCACTTCACCCCCCTCCACACACTCCTACATCTCCCCTCTCACCTCACTCTACTCCTCTCCACACACTCTCCTACCTCTCCACTCTCACTCCACCCACCTCCACACACTCTCATACCTCTCCCCTCTCATCTCTACCCCCTCCACGCACTCTCCTACCTCTCCTACCTCTCACCTCACTCCACTCCCCTCCACGCACTCTCCTACCTCTCCCCTCTCACTCCACCCACCTCCACACACTCTCCTACCTCTTCCCTCTCATCTCTACCCCCCTCCACGCACTCTCCTACCTCTCCTACCTCTCCCCTCTCACTCCACCCCCCTCCACACACTCTCCTACCTCTCCCCTCTCACCTCACTCTACTCCCCTCCACACGCTCTC